CACACACACACACAACATCCTCCCACCTTGTCTGTCTGTCTGTGTGTGTTTCAATCCCATGGCTGGCTGTCTGCAGGCCTACATGGCCTACTACTCGCGCGACGGGGTGCCGTCGATGGTGCTGCCCCCCCGTCCGCCCCCGCCCCCCCAACACGACACGCCCTCCCCCTCGCAGCAGGAGGGCTCGGAGCCCTCGGAGGACACTGGGCTCGGAGCGGGCCGCCGCAGGTCGACCCGCCAGCGGCAGGTCAGGAAGCGCTCACCCTCGCCGCCGTCCATCGACACAGACGACGAGTCCGTCATCAAGAATGACAGCAGCGGCGCCAGTGCCGAGAATGGGGGGCGCAGCAAGAGGCGCCGCAAGGCTGCTGCTAATGCTGCTGACGGAGAGGTGGCAACCGTCGATGTTGAAGTTGATGCCGACGTTGTGATGGCGCCGCGCAGGGCCGCGGGCGAGACGGCCGCTGCGAGAGCTCGGACAGAGAGACTGCGTCGCCGCTCTCTTTTGGTGGGCAAGGTGTGCGAGAGCATCGACACGGGCGATGCGGGCAGCAACAGGGAGAGCGAGGCAGCGGCACCCGCAGCACCAGCACTCGTCAAGCCTCCCCCCATCCTCCCCATTCTGCCCCCATCACGCCCTCTGGCCACCAACAGCAACGAAGCCACCAACATCAGCGGCCGCACGAGACAGGCCGCCAAGAGTGGGGCCGGGGCTGACGGCGGGCGGCCTCGGCCTCCCCTGCACTTCTCCCAGCACCACCAGTACGGCCTCGGGCAGCCGGCGGGCGGCAGTTTCGGCGCTTTCGGTAGTGGCCCTGATCTCGGTGTGTCGGCCTCGGCTTACCAGCCGATGCTCTCGTCGCCCTGCGCATATGCCTCCTTCGGGCAGCCGGCGTTCGTGCAGCCGCAGCCCCGCAGGAGTAAGCAAAGCAAGGCGGGGAAACCGACACACACACACACATCCACTCATCCATCCATTGATGTGTGCTGTGCTGTGCCGTGTGGTGGTTGCAGTGGCGCCCTCATACAGGGCTTCGTCGAGCAAGCAGAAGCAGCCGCCGACGGTCCAGGCCAACGCCAATGCCAACGGTGTGTCGGCCACCACCCCTGCCGCGGCTTCGTCGTCGTCTGCGTGCCCCGGGTACCGCCCATTCTTCCCCCCGCTGCAGCTGCCCCCCAGCAACCCACACACACGCCACACGGGCATCGGTGGCAACAAGCCGCAGATCGCCACCAGCACCATGGTGGCCACGTCAGCAGCAGCGGCAGCAGCGGCATCTTCCGCCGTGGACTGCCAGTGGCAGCAGGCCAAGGGCGATCTGAGCGGCAAGGGTTTGGCTCGGCCCACCAGCAGGGGCGGCGGCAGTGGGGTTGCGATGGGCGAGGCGTCCAAGGCCCATGCCGTGGGAGGAACTGTTGGTGATGGTACCCGCACACGCAGCGGATACAGGAATGGTAGATGCGATGGGATGCGATGCGATGCACAGAGACCAGACCAGCCAGAGGGGACCCCGTCAGTCATGTCATGGATCTATCTATCCTTTGTGTGCTGTGTGTGCTGTGTGTTCGCCCCAGATGTGCCGGCGAGTTTGTTCGGTGGATACGCCCCCATCATGCCCCGCGCCGGCATCCCCAACCCCGGCCCCGTCACCCGTGCCAGTCACATCAGATACGCCCAGCAGCTGCCGAATGGCTACCCGTACCAACTGCGGCAGCACCCGCAGGCCGTGACACTGTGGGGGCAGTGGCCTGCCGGTGCGGCGACTGCAAGGGAGGTGCCCGTAGCACACCCCCACAGCCATCCTAACCCTCACCCGCAGCACCATCATCCCCAGCCCTTCCCGGCGATTGCACAGGTGCTCCCACAGGCGACTGCAAGCGTCATGGGCGGCGGTGGGGGCATTGCTGAGAGTGCGATGCAGCGGCTGCTGATGGCACAGATGTACCCCCAGCACCACCTCAACACCCGCCACCGATAGAACCGACCGAGGTGCGCATTGGGTGCTTGGAAGGAGAGTTAAGAGTTGTCATGACAGACATTTGTGTGGCCTCTTCTCTCTCCCACTCCCTCTCCCTCTCCCTCTCTCTGTGCGTGTGTGTGTGTGACTGTTCAGCCGCCTGTGTATCGTGTGGCGGATGGGATGAGTTCGGCTGGCGGATGGCGGGCAGGGCAGGGCCACGCGTCAGTCAGTCAGTCACTCCACGTGGTTGTTTTCTCGGCTCGGGGTGGGCGAGTGAGTGTGGCTGGGTTTGCTGCTCGCATTTCTGCCTGCCTGCCTGCCCTGTGTGATTGAGTCTCGTGTTGGACGGACTGCAAGCTTCATGGGCAGCGGTCTGAGAGTGCGATGGATGGATGCCGGCGGCACTGCCATGGAGCGGACGAGATCGAGCAGCCGCCCTATGGTTTTTCGGCCGTCGATAGGGTGCGCATAAGATCAGTCATGATGATGTGTGGATACCTGTGTGTGTACTGTGCATTCGTATGGCTGGGTGGGCAGGTGGGGAGGGAGGGAGGGAACTGGGGGACCATAGACAGACAGACAGACGCGTGGCAGCCAGGCTGGACGGACGCATAACGAGTCCGTTCTTGAATTGCTCGCATCACCACCACGCCCACAACAGCAACACCCGTCACACACATTCGTTTCACCGGCCGAGTGCATACACACTGTGGCAGCGGCCGGGTGTCAGGCCGAGCGATAATGGCTGGAACGATGACCGAGTGTGTCTGCCTGTGTCTGTGAAGGGATGGCACTTTGCCATCGATGAGCTGGAGGTATTCAAGCTGGCATGAGGGCGGGCTGGCAAGCGTGACGCATAGTATCGGGACTGCAGCCGAATACTTCATGCCCGTGTGCGTCATGTTGATGGCTCGGCTGACTCGAATGACTTGAGTTCACCGTGTGAAGAGTCCGTCCGTCTCTGCGGACGAGGGAATGTGCAGACGTCATGGATATCGATGTCTGTCATCAATATTCCATCCCTCCACCCATCACCACGTATAGCACCCATCCATCCTTTGTCTGCAACGCACGGCTGGCCTGGCTGGCCGGCCGATTGAATCGCTTACTCATGGCCCACACCAATCAATGCACTCACTCACACACTCACAGACAGACAGACAGACAGACAGTCAGGCAGGGCCACTCACTCACAAATATATATGTGTGTATGCATTATATACACGTACGTACCATGTGTTTCTATACACAGTATCATGCAGTCGCTGCACGCATCACTGCGGCACCCCGCCATCAACAGAGTGACAGATCGAGCGCATCAACGGATTCCCCTGGGCCAGCCACTCCTCCCTGCCTAACGGGCTGCCACCGCCTCTGTGCCAGTGGCTGCTGCTGTGGGTGACGTCTGCCAGCCCGCCTGCGTGGCGTCTTGTGTGGTCCTCTGGCCGCTGGTTGGTCTGTGTGTGTGGCCTTGGGCACCCAGATGGTCTGGCCGGAGGGACGCACCCGACAGCCGGCGGCCGGACGGTTCGCGACATGCTCATGGCGGGAGGGGGGATGGGCGTCAGGACGGGCCGGCTGACTGGGGGCGGGGCCGAGCTGGGCCGTCTCGTCGGTCTCGCTGCCGACATTGTGCGTGTCGGGCGGCTGCTCCTGCTGCTGCTCGACCTGTGTGGGCGAGGCTTGCACTGCCTCCTGGAGCCACGGATGCGACAAGGCCTCGGCAGCTGCGGCAAGACAACACAAGACAACACACACACACAGACATGTGCACACACGCACTGCGGATGGAAAACACTTCACACAATGCACACCGCACCCGAGGCGATGCGTTTGTGTTTGTCAAAGGTCAGCAGGCGGCGGACCAGGTCGACGGCCTCGTCGGAGACGCCAGCGTAGGGAAACTGAACACCCTGCACACACATGGCATGTGTGCGCCGTTCATTCCATCGCTATCTGTCGGCCGTACTGACCCGCTTCATTGCTCTCAGGGCGTTCTTAACCGTCCGCGGCTCCAGGTCGTCACACACCCAGGGGTAAAAGCCAGTCAGCATCACGTAGCTGACCGATCCACAAAAGAGAGGGCGTGAGGCGAGTGGTGAGCACTGAATGAGACAAATGCGTGCAGTGGTGGTCTGTTTGTGTGCTCACATGGCGACGCCCATCGACCAGAGGTCACTCGCAGCTCCGTAGTCGTAGCGCTGGTGCCTATGTGATTGCACGCACAGACAGACAGCCACACACACGGGCCATCCCATCCATGTCATTCATATGTGTATGTGTGTGCGTTTGGTGGTTGGCTGGGTGGCATACGGTGTAGTTGAGTGTGCCCCAGACGGCCGTGTGTCTGCGCATCCCCGGCAGCAGCGCGGCGTCCAAGTCCACGAGGCTGGCCCGATTCCTCTTGAGCATGATGTTGCGGAGGGACACGTCACAGTGGGTGATCTACACACATCACATCACATCACATCCATCCGTGTGTGACATGGCATGCTTTACGTCGTGTTGGTGCAGGTTGGCGAGTCCCTCGAGCGCGCCTTTGGCGATGTGTCGCGCGTCGTCCTCCGAGCGTCTGTGTGGCAGCTCGCAGTTGCCGCCGTCCATCCACTGCATCCTGATGTAGAAGTACTCGTCGTCCATGGAGATGTCGTGGGTCATGCAGACGTTGCCCAGCCTCTTGAAGCGGGTCGACAGCCGCCGGTGCTTGTCCACGAACTCACTCTCGCTGCACATGGACGACTCCAAGCTGACCGGGCGCACCAATCAAAGCGATGACACGACGCAGCAACCAAGACACACATCACAGAGACAGAGAATCAGTCAGTGGCCTGCCTGCCTGCAGGTCGTCGGGGCGGGTCGGCCCTTTGCACTGCGCTGTGCGTACGGCGCAGGTCAGGTGCTCTGCTCACTTGAAGTAGTTGCGCGGGATGGCCTTGATACCGAAGAAAGTGTCCGGCATCCAAGTTACCTCCACCTTGAACACGTACCCATTCCTGAACTCAACACCCCATCCCACCCCCACACACACGACACACGACACACACACATTCACTCGTGAGCCTCACGAGCAGTGAATGCAGTGAATTAATCGGTGCAATCCCTCCCTCCGTCCCTCTGTCCGTCTGTCTGTGTATGTGAACGGCTTCGCTCACCCGCCCCGGCCCGCCTCCTCGACCACTTCAAGGCCACCGCTGCCGAGCAGGTCGTCAAACGAGCCGTACTTCTGCAATGTGCACGCCAAACACACACACGTAGACAGAGAGAGAGACGTCAGTCACCCGTCGTCCATCCCATCCGCTGGCAGGGCTGCCATTTCCCACCCACGCCCCGTCGTCTCTCTGTTCTAAACCCACCCAGTGCACATATTGCGTACTTACTTTGATTGGTTTGTCTTGGGCCGCCTGGTGGCCATCACGACCCTCTGAGCCCTCGACGGCACCGCTGCCGTCGACGAACCCCAACGAAGACATCATACTGTATCACGCCGATAGTACTAGCTAAGAGTGTGTGTGTGATGTGAAAGGGCCGAGCCGCCGGAGAGAGGAAAGCGCTGCAGAGGGCCGCCGGGCAGTCCTCACGGGCGACTCGTGGTGACGGACGCACGAACCGACAAAGCGGAGAGATTGGCCGATGAGGCAACCAAACTCCCAGACACTACAGCTCTCGAGGAAACACAACTCTGAACACGTCAGCGCTGTGCATGCGGAGCTGGACTCTCTGCTGATCGATTTCGCGCCTCCCTAACCCAGTGGCGAGCTAAGCGTGTGCGTGCCATGCGACAGTTGCGGTGCTCACAGACGTCTTTGTGACTTTCGCTGCAGCGCCTTTTTTCTTGATGTGGTTAGGGCGTGTGAAACGAAGGCGTTTCGAATGCGAGCTAAGATCTGCGTTCCTTTTTTGGTTTCGCAGCATGGGCAACTGTGGAGCTGTGTGTGGTCAGAGGAAGCGGCACTTGCTGTCGCTGCCCACCAGGGTTCACTTCAAGGACGTCGGGCGTGTGTACCGTGGTGACATCTGGGAAAGATACGAGCGAGATGAGGCTCCCATCCTCGGCAGCGGCTTCTCCGGACCTGTCATACTCGTCACGGACAAACTCGGCCGCAAGAAATACGCCGGTGAGCCGAAAGGACGCTTGGCGCCTGAGAAGGGACGAGAGAGAGATTTGCCCTCGCTGTCTGTGACTGTGTGGGTGTGTCGTTGGTGTGTGTGTGCAGTCAAGTCGTTCAAGAAGCATGGTGTGGACGCGGACATGATATCCATTCTGATCAACGAGGCCACGCTCTACCGCAAGCTCGACCACCCGCACATCGCACGATTGCTGGAGATCTATGAGGTATACCACACACACACACACACACACACACACACAGAGAGAGAGAGAGAGAGAGCTGTGTGTTGTGTCGATGCACAGGACGACCGCGAGGTCCATTTGGTGATGGAGTATTGCTCGGGCGCCCAGCTGTACGATCGCCTCATATCTGCCGAGACTTACTCGGAATACGACGCCGCCACAGCTACGCTACAGATGCTCAAGGTAACACTCGACAAGCTACAGGGAGAAGAGGAACCTGTGTGTGTCCTCGACAGGCGGTTCAGTATCTGCACAGGTTCGGCATCGTCCACCGCGACCTCAAGCTCGAGAACTGGCTGTATGAGCACACCGAGCCTCACGCAAACCTCAAGGTGAGTAGGGCCTGCGAACACTTGGATGGGCGTGTATGATCGATTTGGTTTGGGTGTCCTTCCCCCTTTTGTGTCTGTTCTGGACAGCTGATTGATTTTGGTTTTTCGATGCGGCTCCACAACGTGCCCGAGAGCACGAGGTCGATCGTGGGCACCATCTACTACATCGCACCAGAGTACTACCAGCGCACGGACACGCACACAAAGGCACCGACCGACGCTGTCTATGTTGGCTCATGTTCACTGCTCTGTCCTTGTGTCCATGTGTGTTGCAAATGAAGGGTTCTGACCCACCAGCACTACACGAGCGGTGAGTGGAGAGGAGAGGAGAAGATACAGCTCGTGCAGACCATGTTGATCGTGTGTGTGTGCGTGCGTGTGTGTGGTGCAGCGTGTGACATGTGGTCGATGGGCGTGATTGCCTACATGCTCATGAGCGGCCAGCCCCCCTTCTACTCCAAAAACAGAGATGAGGTCATCCGGAGAATCTCAAAGGGGCATTACTCGTTCGAGGGCAGAGTGTACGACCCACACCAACACACACACACACACACACATAGACACCCCCACCACCCGCACAGGGAGGCCTCTCTGTGGGTGTGCAGGTGGGAGGACGTGTCAGCCGAGGGGAAGGACTTCATCCGGCGGTGTCTGCTACTCAACCCTGTGAAGCGGCTGACGGTGGAGCAGGCCATCCACCACCCATGGCTGCAGGGGCTCCACAACACCAACCCCCTCAGCAGCAGGGAGATCCCCTCGGACACACTCACCAACATGAAAAAGTCAGCCGTCGACACACGCCAGACAGGGCGGGGGAGAGAGAGAGGGGGAGTGGCATGCTTGCACATCTCTCTCCCTTTGTGTGTGTGTGTCTGTGTGCGGTTGTGTCGTCAGGTTTGTGCGTGCGACCCACCTGAAGCGAGCAGTGCTGACAGTGTTGGCGTACTCACTCTCATCCGACGAAATCGACTCCATCCAAAACATATTCCAGGCCTTCGACAGAGAGGGTACACACACACACACACACAGAGAGAGAGAGAGAGAGAGGGAGAGAGAGAGAGGGGCATCTCCCATCCATTGTGTGTCAACGTTGACTGGTGCAGGTTGTGGTACGATCAAGTTTGATGATTTTTGTGCCATCATGAAGGAGCGGTTCGAGATCAGCGACCGTGAGATCGAGACCATCTTCAAGACCATCGACGACACACACGACGAGGAGATCGAGTACGGCGAGTTCGTCGCCTCCATGCTCCACACACGGGTCATGCTCCACGAGGTGAGTGAGCCCAGCGACAGGACAGACACACATGAAATCGGTGCCCATGCACTGACTGCGTGTTGGCGTGTCTGTCTGTTCTGTGTCAGGACATGATTTCTCGGGTGTTTCGCAAGTTCGATGTCAACAATCGCGGCGAGATCACACGGGACGACCTCAAACAAGTGCTGGGGCCCAAATGGAACGTACGTACGCAAGACGCCCGCACTCTCACAGACACCACGGGGCATACCATGCATGGGGCCGATCTGTCTGTGTCTGTGTGTGTGGGATTTGTTGTGCGCATATATCGTAGGAGTTGGACATTGAGCGAATGATGCGCAGCCTGGACAGGAACAGGGACGGCAAGATCAACTACTCCGAGTTCGTCAAGATGATGCAGCACGTACGCAGAGCTATCAAGACACCACACCACACCACACCCGTGGCGTCCTAATGCCCTCATGTATCGTGTGTGTGTGTGTGTGTGTCTGTGTGTGTGGTCAGGACGACCTGGCATCGGAGGCCGCTCCGTCTCGCGAGGTGACGCTCACGGCCGCACAGGTCGGCTCCATCATCATCGACTCACAGGTACGTCGGGTGGCTCGGCAGGCCCGTTGGTCTGATGGATGGATGGGTATGCATGTGTGTGTCTGCAGCTGGAGGCCAACTCGAGTTGGCATGCCAAGCGTGCCGTCCGGCTGCTCTCCATCGGCCAGGGCATGTCGTCCTTCGTCCGGCAGATGTCCGATTTCTTGAGCAACGCCATCGTGACCATCACCTCCCCCCTCACCAAGCGCTTCTCGCCGCCAAAGGAGGCCCACCGCCGCCGCGACGGCAGGAGACACAGCGACACCGACGTCATGGCATGGAAAAACGCAATGGCGGAAGAAGACAAGGAAGCAGTGGCCGGCAGCAAGTCCGTCGGCAACCCCATTCAGGGGTCCTTCACTGACCATGACATCATCTACCACCCAGAGCACGAGAACGAGCCCGAGACGGCCGACAGACATGAGAGTGACCTCGCCGATTGTCTGTCCAAGTCGACGGCGGTGTCCAGCGGCCGCAACCCCCACACCGCCCTGTCGGCCGTGCCTCTGGGCGACGACGCCGGTGGCCCACCGGCAGCAGAAGAGGCCGATGCTGACGCCGAGGCCGAGGCCGAGGCAGAGGCCGATTCAGACGAGATGATACGCAGCATGTTTAGGAGCATCACGGCCCCCATGGCCTCCGTCAGTGCCAAGCGCCGAAACAGTGAGGAGACCCAGTACGGCCACATGCGCAGGTGCCTCGGCAGGGCGCTGTCGATCGAGCGGGCGATATCGAGGGTCATTGCGATCGACGAGGCGGGTGATGATGATGACTTTGCGGATGGGCACGGAGGATGGCACAAGGCGAGGACGTTCGCATGACGGCCGGCCTCCATGCTCCGTGCTCCGTCCTTGGTCCATTTATGGATTTCCATAAGCAGAGTTTTGTATACAGGGAGAGCCGGTACGGGGTGGGTGGGTGGGTGGATGTTGTGGTTTCTCTGTGTGGCTGTGTGGCCGTGTGGCTGTCTTTGAGTGCATTGGCTTTTTTCCGTGGATGCGTGTACACGCACACGCGCACGCGCGCCGGGCCAGAGAGCAAACAGATCAATGAACAGATCAGGCAGCTCAGGTAGCCTTTTTGCTGTCTGCCTGGTGACGTGGCGACGCGGGTATGGTGGATGGATGGATGGATGGTATTTAGCTGACTGACTGACTGACAAGGTGTGTTGGTTGGTTCGTGACTCCGATTGTGATGGTGATTGGTATACGGTGCTTGAATGCGTGTATGTGTACGTGCGTGTCTGCGTGTGTGTGTATACTCAGTCCCTCTCGTCCTCCTTTATGCAGGGGTTTTCATGCCCGCCATCTCGCGCACGAGGCATCCCCCCCCTCTCTCTCTCTCTCTGTGTGTGTGTGTGTGTGTCTGCCCGTCTCCTGGTTTGTCTGTCTGTCTGCCTGTGCGTGAGTCTTTCTGCCTCTGTGTGTGTATGAGTGTACCTGTCGATGCATTTGTTTCATGCATGTCTATGTCGCTGACTGACTGACTAGTGTGGTGTACATGTGATGATTGATCGGTGCGTGTGCCGTTTTGATGCACACGTGTTCGGCAGCTGGCTATCTATCCACTGTCTGTCTCCATACACACACACACACACACACACATACGGACCACTTCTTCCATTCATCCATTACACATGGATTTAACTCTCTATACCACTGTGGCCTAGTCAATGACTCACTGACTGACTGCTCGTTGGCTCGAGCTCTGTATCCTAGCCCACCCTACCCTGGCCTCTGTTTCCGCATCTGTCTGTCCATTCGCTACGTCTGATCCATACTGACTGACGAATGTGGGCTTTCTGCCCCCCTGCAGGCTTACTATATCATGCCTGCAAGCACACCACACGCCTTCCCTTATGGGTCTTGCTGCTGCATCGCTTCCCATTCCGCCCCCAGAGTGACGTCGTGTGGTCCCAATGGCGCTGCAGACCGGTTGACGGGATGCTCGTGACGACGGGTGTGCCGGCAATCAGTTCGCAGTACTGTTGGGCACGCGGAGACGTCACCAGGGATGATTGTATCATTATTATCGACCAGGGAATAATATCGCCCCGGTTTTCTGCCGCTGCCGTGCTGTGCACGCAATGCTTTATGCTCTGTCTGTCTGTCTCCCTTCGTCGCATATCTCTCTGTCTGACCGAGTGATTGTCTGGTTGTGTCCGTCGTCAACTCTGACTCTGTCTGCGTGGATGGCTATTTGTCTGTCTTGCTCCCTCTCTGTGTTGCCCGCTGCTTTGCTCGCCCGCTGCTTGCCTGTATGTGTGGTGTGTCTCTCTCTCTGGTATTTCTTGATGAATCAATCTGCGTGCGTGGGAAGTACACTCGATTCTTTCTTACGTGGCGGCCAGCCAGCCGTGGCTGGTGCAGTGTGAAATAAATGGTGGGTGGGTGCACATGCGTCAGGTGCACCAGACAGACAGACAGAGCAGCTGGCTGGCTGGCTGCGGCCTACCTCCGCCCGTATTTATCATCGCATCTCACGCCATCCCCCTCTCTGTCTGTCTGTCTGTCTGTCTGTCTGTGCGTGAGTGAGTGACTTGGTATTTATCCAAGCGACACGACTGATGACTGACTGATGCATTCAATTGGCCAAACGGATTGGTTAACGACTCAACGGCAGGCATGCGCGATGCAAGGCTTGATCAGACAGACACTCTTGCACATCTGAACGTCAAGTCGTCATAGCGAGCGAGCATTCCTTACTGTGTGTCTGTCTTTCCGTCAGTCAGTCAGTCAGGGGATGTGTGGGTGTTTGCTGCTCTGGTGCACGGACGAGCCACGTCGACATGCTCGCCGTTCCATTGGTAAGCAGACTGGCGTGACCCGTGCAGACCCGAGAGCAGCAAACACGGTCACACCTCTCAGCCACAATTCCGACCCGTATCACCGTCTCAACAACCATCAGGACATCCGCCGGCACCGCACGGCACCGCCAAAAAAGCATCGCATCGAATCGCATCTCATCGGATCACATCTTTCCTCTTCCTCAGCCACCACACGCGTCAACATCACACGCGTAGCCCTCGCCATTCGTCCATCCCCCTTCCTCTGCCCCGGTCGCAATTTCACTTCAATAAACACATACACTCGTACACCCAACCCACCAGCCACGACACTGCCCCTCATTCAATCCAATCATGTCCGCAAGTTGTTGAGCCGTTCTTGCAGGGGGTCGGCCGGTTGCTGCTGGGCGGGGTTCTGAACACCGTACACACACACCAGATATAGCAGCAAGGGACCCTTTCGTGGTGCCTGTCCGCTCGCTTTGGCGTCCGTGTGTGTGTGTGTGTGTACCTGGACTTTGGCAGGTTGTGCGAGGTTGCCCTGTGGGGCGTCGCTGAGCATCTCCGACACATCCAGGGCGTGCTCCTCAGCCACCTGAGCTATCAGCTGGTCAACCTGCACACAGCAGACAACACACACACACACACCACCCGCCCCACCCCGGCACACACGAGTGTCAGAATGGCGAACATGCGAAGCGCAACATGAACGTGTGTGCGTGTGTGTGTGTGTGTGACTGTGTTAGAGAGGGGTATGGGATGTCGTTTCCATGGTTTTTCCCAGTGGTCCAGCGCCCGTGGGGCATGATGCCAAGGGACATGAGATATGGAAACGCCTCTGTGACGGGCGGAGCAGAGCTCGACAGCCCTAGAGGACTCTTTCGGACATGGGCGCTTCAACCGTACACTATCGTGGAAGTGCTCGAGGGGCACTCCATGTCCGTCATTATCAGACAGACTAGCTGACTGCCTCCCTGCCTCTGATGTGGTGTGTGTGTGTGTAGGTACCTGGTCGACAGGTGTCGCTGATGCGGTGGTTGAGTCGATGGCGTTGGTCACGTACTCCGCACGCACATCCTGACCACACACACACACACACACACACACACACGGACGGAGAGAGAGAGAGAGAGAGAGAGAGAGATGCCGGCGTGTGTGGTGTGGTGTGGTGATGTGTGCTTCGGTGAATACCCACCAGGTCTTCGAAGAGTTTTTCGAAAGCGTCCATTGAGGTGCTGATCCTCTCGACGTTCATGGTGCCCAATGCCCTGGACAAACCAGGGACGGCCTTGTAGATGTCCTTCGTCATCTATATCCACACACGCACACCCACCATACAGGAGTGCGTGTGCAGGCACATGCTGGTGTTGCGTGGCTGTGTGGTGTGTACCTGTTGCGACTTGATGGCTGCGTCGAGTCTGCTGGCGGCCGCGTCCATCTTTGACGAGAGCTTGAGGTAGTTGAGCGCCTCGTGCTTCTTCCGGATCGCATTCTGCGCGTAGATCCTGTCAGTCACGTCACATAGCACAGCACCAACCAAACAACCAAGACGGTATGCGCACCGACCACCCGTTTCCGCGTGTGAGTGCCCTCCCTCACACGCATGGCACCGCACCTGGCTCCGTCTTTGTTTCCCTTCTCGATGGCCTTTTTGACCTTGGTCTTCTCCTCCTTCTCCTCCTTCTCGGCCTTGGCCGACATCCGCGTCTGTCGACAGACAACACGCAACCAACATACAGACAGAGAGAAGACGGGAGGAGTGACAGGCGCGTCAAGAAAGGACAGATCAGATGTGTTTCGTGCGCGTGGTGACTGACTGACTGACCAGCTCTTTGGACTTGAGCTTCATGTTGAAGATGTTGTCCTCGATAGACTGCCTGTTGCCCATCTTGCCTGTGTAGCCTGTTTGGTCACGCAGAGGCTGCAAACAACGCGGCGGGATTGTCTTTCAAGCTCGCAACGATCGCCCCGCAAACGCGCAAGCAACGAAGGCAAACGAAATGAGGGCGTCCGCGAGTGTTGGGAGAGCCGTGAGAGATGCGGCACGGATCTGCAGAAAGGAGGCGTGTTTGTCGTCATTTGGCGCCTTTCACTCGTCGGCTCCCACTGCTCCTGCCGCACAAGACGACGCCAAGGCAGCAACGGGAGATGCAGACAAGGAAGAGGCCGAGCGGCTGGCAGACATGCATGTGTCAAGGTTGGTAAAGAAACGAACGCACGCATAGATCCACTCATTCATTTCTGTCTGTGTTATGTATGTCTGCAGCATTGCATTGGACCTGCAGCACCAGGTGCGACTGAAGAAGCGAGTGCAGTACCACTACGACAGCCGCAAGACAAAGCCACTCGTCGACGAGAAGGAAAGAGAACTCGACGACCGCAACAGAATCGACAAGAGGCGCTGGCTCACTCACAATGAGGCACCAGGTCAGTCAGTTGTCCTTCATCAGTTGTGCGGCGTGTTGTCTGATTGCTTCGTGGGTGCTGCAGGCAGCACCCCGTATGAGCGTGAGCGCAATGCGCAGAAGATCCGCCTCGCGAGGGCACAGGGCCACGCACTCGACTATGAAAGGAAGAGGCGAAACGAGGTGACCACAGGCGGGCATGCAGCACACAGCGCAGCACAGCCCAGCCGAATGGGTCGCATGTGTGGTTCGTTCATGTGTGTCAGATTGACCCGCATGCCGACAAGCTGGAGTTCGACAAGTTCAACTCGTTCGTGGAGGCGAGGATCCAGATGGCCATGGCCGAGGGGGAGTTTGACAAGCTCTCCAACAAGGGCAAACCACTGAAGAGACTCACCAGCTACGACAACCCTTTCGTCAACGCTGAGGACAGGTGGGCCCGGGTGGGGTGGTTGGACACACGGCGGCCATCTGCGTGTGTGTGTGGGTTGTGGGTCTGTTATGCATCTTCCTTGTGCTCTCTTTGTGTGTCAGGTGGGCCTTCAACATGATGCAAAATCATGGCTTCTCCCCCGACTGGGTCGAGAACCAAAAGTCCATCCAAACGGACCTCGAAAACGCCAAGTAGGACACACAAGACACAGAGGGGCACAGCCACAATGACCAATGACCACACACGCGGCACGGCACCATATCCATCGTCCTTTTTCTTCCGTCGGTTCGGTTCATTGATTCAGAGAGGCCCTTCGTGTTGCGGAGCGTCGCCGTGAGGACATGTCCGAGAGGTGGTGGAGGTCGCAGCTGGAACAGTTCAAACGCACCGTTGACGAGCTCAATCGGCGGATCGTCGATCACAACCTCACTTGCCCCAGCTCATGCCAGGTGAGGGAAGGCCAGGCTGAGAAGACGACCGTCTCCACAGACATCGGTGGAATTGGGTTGTCCGTCCGTGGATGCAATGCAGTTGCGGCCTCTGGACAAGTTCAAGACGCTGATGGAGGCGAGGAGAGGCACACCAGCAACGGCAATAAATGGCTCGTCGGCATCGGCACAGTCGGCCAGCGCGCCTGTGCCGTCCCCCACTCCTTCCTCCTCACCCTTTTCAGCAGGAACTCCCCTCAACTCGTCGGCACTGAAGCCTTCGCCGCTCAAGGAAGTCTGCAAGGTCACACACACACACACATACACACGCATTCAGACAGACGGAGATGGATGGACATTGTGGTTGGTGTGATTGCGTCAGGTGTCGTTCGACTCAGTGCGGGTGACGTCGCTGTCCAATGGGGTCGGTGTGGGTGTGGCTGGCCGGGGGCCGTCTGAGCCCTCCGTGTGGGACCGAATATCCATCGCATTTGCCAGCCTGGCCAGGGGGAGAAGTGGGGCTGACGGCTGACTCGTGATTGATTCGCATGTAGATGAGACGAACGTGGTTTCTTCCACGCTTTTATGTGTGTGTGAGATGGATCAGTGCGTGTGTATATAGAGTGCGGAACCAATCCATCAATCTTTGTGTGTGAGCGAAAGGTTGTCGGCCAACAAAGACACATTCATCCATATGGCCATGTGCACACGTCTCTAGTACGACTGCACATTGTCAGCTGAGCGCCCAAACACACGTATAGCATCTAGCTTACTGTCCTATCTTTGCTGCGCCTGTATGGCATCTGTGGCGTTGCTGCGTGCCGATGCGGTCTGCATCACCACCTGCTCGCCATTCTCGTCGCTCGCCAGCGTCTGTCAAGACACACTCCCACACAACGAAGCATGCGTACCTCCCTTGTCCCTCTTACACTCGAGTGGACGAAGAGGCTGATGGGTCTGGGGGTGCGGTGCCTGGCCAGGCCAAAGCCGATGGCCATCCTCTCGCGGTCATATATCTGTGGACACACAGAGAAACAGAGATGGAGCACAAGGGGAGACACAATGATTATGCACCGTGTAGAAGTTGACGAGGAATGGATCTCCGAGTATGAACAGCGGCCCGTCTTGCTCGGGCATGTTGACGGCCATCACACCGAGCTTGCACTTGTCGCCCGTCCGAGACACGTAGTTCCTCGGCTCCAAATATAACACATTCTCGCCGATCATGAAACCCAAATTAGGCAGGCTGCACAAAGGACCCGGCAGAAAAGGAGAGGGAGGGCGTCCGTGTCTGTGTGTCTGTGTGTCTGTTTCGTGGCTTGCCTGTCGATGTCATTGCATGAGGAGTCGACTTTTATAGCCTGCCGGAGCCTACTCACCATCCACTGCGGCCCCCCCAGCAGAGAAGTGCCCGTGTCGACCACTACCTGCCCCACATACCCCACACACATATAGAGCAACCATGTGCAGTGCATGGACGCCTCAAATCCCCCCCCCCTTCTGCCCACCTGGCACGCCTTTGGCTGGCATATGTTGAGGTGTTCCTTGCCGACCACGATGTCGTGCATTCCCACCTGGAACGCACACAAATAGAGAGGAAGCGGCGGATGGCTATGTCTGTGTCTCTTTGGGTGCCATGGGAGACAGACTGACTTGCCAGAACCCGGGGCTGGTGACGTCGACCCACATAAGAGGGGCACCGTCGTTCAGGCGCTCCTTCTTCCACCCACCAAAGGTTATCTACGTCGGCACAAGAAGAGATAGACAAGGAGGCATTGACTAATTGCTTTCACTCTGGCGGAGCCATCCCGTTTGTTACTTCGCTCTCTTCAACATCGTCCTCGCCGAAGAAGACCGCAAACACCTTCTGGTCGATAACATGCTCCTGACGGCCGAGAGAAGGAACCTATACGTGTGCCTTGGTGCGTGTGTGATCGGAGCAACCCCTCTCACTCTCACCCTGATAAGGTTGTCGACAAAGTTGAACTGGGGCCCCTCTGACATCTGCGGCAAGCTCAGGCCAAGAATGCTGTGCACAGATAAGGAGGAGGTCACAGGACAGACATGCTTGGCTGGCTGAAGGTCTTCATTTCTCACCCGTCGAAAGGGACGTCTTTGAATGGCTCGACGCTCTCCTGGGTCGCAGAGATAAAGTGCGTCGTGGCGCATATGTCGCTCTGGTAACGCAGCTGAAGACACACACTGACAGGAAACGGAGGGAGGGGGAAACATGCATCTATGTGAGCGCCTGTTGCTCACAGGTCCTTAGTGAAGATTCCCTGTATCTCCCCCGTGCCAAATGTGATCGTCACGTAGTCCCGCTCATGCTGCACCCATAGACAGCAAACAGCCACCTCCCCTCCTCTGTTCACTTGTGTGTGTCCTGACGCGTTTGTTCATTAATGTGTCGGGTTTGTTCGCGAATGCAATGTCGTACGACGTTGCCGACAAAGCCTGGTCGTACCGGACGTGTGACGCACACGCGGGACTGCCACACTGAACACAGACAACAACATAGGATGGTCTATTCGGCATTCTGCGCCTCATTTCCTTACCCGTGACGAAGGCACGACTAGGTTTCCGCTGCCAGTATCGAACACCACCTTGAAGCATTGGGCTGGCATGCCAATGCATAGCTCCCCGAAGTACTCAGTCTGACAACACAACCAGCAGAAATGAATGGGCATATCGACAATGTCTTGTTCTCACCGGAAACCGTGCCCTGGCCTGTGCCAGCCCAAGGCCAGACATTGCCTTCGATTCAGACGTAATCAGCCGCAGCTGCCGGTTGCCCACACGAGAGGCAGAGAGACCAGTGGTGGTGCCATTACACCCCGTGCACGTCCCCTTCGGTCCATCCCTCTCCTTCTCTCCCACTGGATGGACAACGGCCGCGGCGGGCCCCTCAGATCTAGGTGCTGGTGGCGATGGTGGCTTCTTCGGTCTCCTGTGCAGTCTCATGGAATATGCAGCATCAGAGCCGATGCAAGATAGGGAAGATGGCTGCTCGCTCCCGTCACATATCGGTTTTGGCTGCCGCGCCGGTCTGTGGGAGGTGCTCGTCTGGACTCTGACGTGCTGTGGAGAGCCCCGCTGGATGGACGACAGCAGGATGGACCTTCCCGCAGGAAGGCCGCTGAAGACGTTCAGGGGACTTGTTGAACGACGCTGCAGCGACGTCGACTGTCGAGCTGCCTTTGTCGGCTCACGGTGAGCGGTGGCCTTCCCTCCGTAGCTAATGCAGCCGATGATCCCGAGGAGGAAACCGAGGAAAGGACGCATGGGGAATCCTGCCTGTTTACGCATCGCCGGTAAACACGTGAGCGCGGGCATGGAATGAATGAATGAATGGATGAACGGATGGATGAACGGATGGATGCGATGAGATGGAGAAATGTATCAGCGACGTAGGCGCCTACATCGACGCCCATACAACGGCGCCTACGTGTCGGCGCCTACGTCTCGGCGCCTACGTGTCGGCGCCTACATCGGCGCCATTGGCAATATCACGGCGCCTACATCGGCGCCTACATGGCATAGCCCGCTCCCTGATGCTGAGCTGCCAGTGAAGCGTCGGGCAGCTTCGCTGCCCTTCCCGATGTGCGAAAAGGCCGGTGAGGACCTTTCCTGTAGATAGCTGAATAGAGGATCTGCTGGGCGGTAAGTCCCAGAGTAAGAGTGCTTTTACTTTAATAAGACCGATGGACTGGCCAGTCAGTCAAAGTTGTTTCTGTCCATGTATGGCATCATGAAGGGTGGTC